GCAATCAGATATCAGCATGGGTGACCCGAGCAAGGCCGGCCCGAGTCCTACAACGTAGGGGCGAGACGCGGCAGAGTGAACGCACCCTTGTGGTGGCAGCCAACTAGAAAAGAAGAGGGAGAAGAAAACCAGGGGAAGCGGAGAGCTCCGGCTGCTCAGAGAGCTCACCGCCTGCCTGGCCTCTATGACAGGACAGTGGGATCGCTACGTCAGATCTTGATCACAGATTCCACGAAGATGAAGACTAGGACAACCACGTCGAAGAAGGTGTTAAGCTCCGTCGTGATGCACACCGTGGGAGTGCTCAACTCCGTCGAGCTGGACATCTGCTCGTCCCCATCGTCCCCACGGCTCATCGTTGCGCCGACGGATTCGCTGACGTTGGTGCCGGCGTAGGCGAAGGCGTTGCAAGTGGCGACGGTGCAGGCGTCGGCGCTGGCGAGGTGCCGGCGTTGGTGCGGGCGCCGCTGTGCACCGGTCAATTGGTCAGCTCCCCGGTGCGCCGGCGTCGGTGTCGGCGTAGGCGGGGGTATTGGAGTTGGCGTATGGGCTGACGTCGGCGCTGTTGTATGCATCGGCGTTGATGCCTGCGAGGGCGCAGGCCTTGATGCTGGCGTCGGTGCTTGCGTCGGCCCTGGCGAAAGCGCCAGCGTTGGTGCTGATGCTGGCGCGTACCGGTCAGCTGGTCAACTCACCAGCGCCCTGGTATTGTTAGGCGCATGCGGTGGTGCTGGCGTAGGGGTTGACGTCGGCGCTGGTGGAGAAGCTGGCATTTGTGCTGGCGTAGGCGCAGGCGCTGGCGTCAGTGCTGGCGTCAGCGCTGGCGAAGGTGCCGACGTTGGTGCTGGCGCCGGTGAGGCAGTGGAGGTGGGGGTGGGAAGACAGAGAGAAGTGGGCATTGGGAGGGGCAGTAGAATCAGTCGGTCGCCCTTGTCTTGGTCAACCTTGTCCTCGCGGCCATGCTTGATTAATGAATCCTCTGGTGTTGTCGTCAGATGGCCAGCGTTGGTGGAGTCGGTGCTGACGTCGGCGCTGGTGTAGGCGCTGGCCTTGGTGCAAGCGTCGTAGGTCCTTGGGGCTGGGTCGGACAGCCGGCGTTAGTGCTGGCGTCAGCGTTCGTTGTTGCCAGATGCGCCGGCGTTCGTGCTGCTGGCGTCAGTGTTGACGTCGGCGCTGGCGTTGGCGCTGAAATAGACGTAGGCGGTGATGCTGACGTCGGCGTTGGAGTCGGGTCAGGCGTAGGCGCTGGCGTTTGAGCAAGCGTCGGTGCTGGCGTCTGTGCTGGTGCAGGCGACGTGCATATCAAAGCATCAATATCCTGTCCAGTGCACGTGTCTCTCCTCCTCCTCCTCCTCCCTCCAACGAGCGTGGCCGTCCTAATCCTTCCTTCTCTCCCTCCCTCCCTCCACCCCTCCTTCCCTCCCGCCCGCCCTCCCTCCCTCCGTGTCCACCGCATGATATTTCCTCATTCTCCTCATCCTCCTGCGCCGCCCTCTCCTCCTCCTCCTCCTCCTCCTCCTCCTCCTCATCCTCCTCCTCCTCCTCCTGCTCATCATCATCATCATCATCATCATCATCATCATCATCATCATCATCATCATCATCATCAGCAGCAGCAGCAGCAGCAGCGGCATCATCAGTATCATCATCCTCATCAGCATCATCATCAGCAGCAGCAGCAGAGCCGGCAGCAGCATCATCAACAACAGCATCAGCAACAACATATGAATCAGCACCATCATCACCAGCAGCAACATAATGAACACCACCAGCATCATCAGCATCATCATCAGCATCATCAGCATAATCATGAGCATCATCATCATCAGCAGCATCATCATCACCATCATCAGCATCATCATCTTCGTCATCATCGTCATCATCACCAGCATCAGCATCAGCATCATTAGCAGCATCAGCATCATCATAAGCACCATCACCATAACAAGAATCATGATGTGATGAATACTAGAAAGACTAACAATAACCAAGCAAACTGGTGAGGATGATGGGACTGATACCATAACAATCATACTCATGATGATACAAGCAAAAAACAGTAGCAGTGATGGAAATATGTTTTACCCACGTGAAAGTAATGATGTGACATGACGTCATAATAAAATCTGATCAGCCCAATCCTCCCTCCTATTATCATCCTCATCATAATCACCGTCAGCATCACCGCCATCACCAACATCCTCATTATCAGCAGCAGCATGAGCAGCGTACGACCCATCATCAGCATCATCATCGTCGTAGTTGCCATCAACAGCATCATCATCATCAACATCATCATCATCAGTATCCTCAACATGATGATCAACATCAGAAACATCATCGGCGGCAATATCGTCAGCATCATCTTCAGAATCATCATGATCAGCATCATCGTAATCATCACCACCATCGTTAACAGCATCAGCATGAGCAGAATCATCAGAATCATCACAAATCATCATGATGATCATCATCACCATCATCGTCATCGTCATCGTCATCAGCATCATCATCGTAATCCTCCTCCTCATTCTCCTCGTCATCCTACTTCCCCTCGTCATCCTCCTGATCCTCCTCCTGCGTACGATTATCATCATCAGCAGCAGCATGAATATCATCAACATAATCAGCATCATCATCATCAACAACATCATCATCAACGTCATCATCATCATCATCATCATCATCATCATCATCATCATCGTCGTCATCGTCGTCATCATCATCATCCGCGTCGTCATCGTCGTTGTCCTCATCATCCTCCTCCTCCTCCTCGTCATCCACCTCCTCATCATCCGCAGCAGCATCATCAGCACCATCATCATCATCATCAGCATCATCATCATCATCATCATCATCGTCATCATCGTCGTCATCGCTGTCATCTTCATCATCATCGTCATCAGCATCATCATCGTCGTCGTCGCCGTCATCAGCATCATCATCAGCATCAGCATCACCACCATCATCAGAATCAGCATCGTCATCATCATAATCATCCTCATCACCATCACTATCATCGTCATCATCATCAGCATCATCACCATCATCATCAGCATCATCATCATCCTTTTCCTCGTCATCATCCTCCTCACCCTCGTTATCATTTTCCTCGTCCTCCTCCTCCGCCTCCTCCTCATCCTGTTCCTGGGCGCGTCTAGGCGTCTGGGGGGCGCCTGGCCTGCCACTGTTCCTGCGGCCCTCCGACGAGGCGGCGCGGGCTCCTCCGAGAGCAGAGAGGGGGCGAGAAACTGGCGGGCTCGTGCCGCGGCGGCGCTCCCCACCATCCCTAGCATCCCTCCCTCCCTTCCTCATCTACACCCTCATCATCATCATCATCAACAACAACACCAACAACAACAACAACAACAACAACAACAACAACAGCATCAACATCATCATCATCATCATCAGCAGCAGCATCATCATCATCATCATCATCATCATCATCATCAGCATCATCAGCATCATCATCATCATCATCATCATCAGTACCACCATCATCATCATCAGCAGCATCATCATCACCATCGTCATCTGTACCATCATCACCATCATCATCATCAGCAGCAGCCTCATCATCATCATCGCCATAATCAGCTTCGTCGTCATTATCATCAGCAGCAACACCATCATCATCATCATCATCAGCATCATCATCAGCTACATCTTTATCCCCATCATCACCATCATCATCCTCATTAGCATCATCATCATCATCATCATCATCATCATCAGTATTATCGTCATTATCATCGCCACCGTCATCGTCATCATCATCGTCATCATCGGCATCATCACCATCAGCATCATAATGTTCATCATCATCATCATCAGTAGCAGCAGCAGCAGCATTATCATTATCATCGTCGTCCCCGACGCTGGCGCTCGTGCCGCGGCGGCGCCGGCGCTGGCGTGATTCGTTCGGCCTTGAGCGAGCGACGAGATCTACGGTCGGGAACTTTAGGATAGCCTGTCGCCACGGTGGCCCCGGCGACGCGCTATGCCCTGCAAGCGGGCAGCGTGTCGCTGCGATCCGCGGGGAGGGGGCCTGGGAAAAGCTCGGGACGGAACGCGTGGGGGCTGGGACGAGGATTGCGTATCGCGCCGCAGCGTGGCGGGCCAGAACCCACAGAGCGACACGCTATCCCAAAATTCCCGACCATACATATATATATATATATATATATATATACATACCCGTCGCCCCGACGCCTCGGAATGCTTTCCGATAGCTCGGCCGCGTCGAGAGCAATCCAGCGGTGTCCGAATCGTTCCGAACGGCCGCCCTATGACCGAGTTACGCCTCGAAAACTGTTCGGGGGACGCGGAGGGCACCTATTCACGTCGTTCACTCGTTTCTACTTGTTCCTGGCCCCCTAGTGGCCAGGAAAAGGCCCAGGATAGAACAATTAGAAATGAAAGGATCTTGGCCCCAAAAACAAATCAAAGAACTCTCGAAGAATTTGCAATAAAAAATGTGTATGCGTACCTACCGACACTGGCCAGGCCCACCCTGGGCCCAGAGCCTTTTCGTGCCGTGGAAGCATCGCGGCGCAGAGTCGCTTGCAGAGTTCGGCACCGCCAAGACACGACCCAGAAAGAAGAGGCGGTCCAAACAAACAGAGAAGAGAACACTAACTCGGATGCCTGCGTAGAAAAGGCTTGTTAGGTGTCGGCCGACTCTGGCCCACTGGCTGTAAGGATGCGTAGGCCTGGGGTTTGGCGGGCTCGGGTTGACCAAACGGGGCGGTCAAGAAAATGACGAGACCCATTCTGAAATCTGACGCGAGATCCCGCTGCAAACATCCATGAAAACTGGACCGTCAAAAAATGCATGACGTGCCAGTCAACAAGCGTTGGCGAACCCGAGTTTCGGGCAACCCGAATCTCCGAGAATTTCCCCGACCTGCTCAATACTCCCCTCGTCATCCATATCATCCACCTTTTGCAAGCCAGCGGGGAACGATAAAGATAAAGATGTAATCTAGAAACCGATACGCTCGACACGAACGTTAACGAACAATCACTTGAGCGAAAATGACGTCAATCGCGACGCGCCTTCGGCAACCATAAGACCACCATTCTGCTGACCCAGTCACCCACGTATTTATTGACAACCCCCCTCGGCCTCTACTGGCCGCATCAGTGACGAGGAAGCTGTTGTAACACGATGGGTGACCCGGGCAAATGAAACAACAGCGCCACCTGGATGGGCAGCGGTCGAAAGACTCGCACTGTCAAGCGCAGCGCTACAGGTATGTACATAAACGAATTCGACGCGCAGGAATTGAGTCACCAGGCTCAAGTGATCATGGTAGTCAGAACTGATATGCTGTGCTGTAGCATCATGGTCGGTAACATCTTCAGGTGGACAAAGGTGAGGAGGAGGAGGAGGAGGAGGAGGATGTAGATATTGCCGGTCGGCGCCTTGACGGCGCCTCGGCACAACGAGCGACTGCGCCCGGCCAGCGGCCCTCCCCGCGTCACCGCCGGGGTATAGTCGGACCAAAGCACGGGCAACCTGTCGGTGGCATCGCTGGGACTGTCGGGCGCCCCCGCGGCGCCCTCGCGCCCGGGGTGCGGTCGGCCTGCTTGTCAGGCAGCGGCGAGGCGTCCTGACTCGCCCCTGCGAGGCGAGGCGAGGCGAGGCAGGCGAGGCGAGGCGAGGCAGGCGGGGTAGTCCGTGCTGGACCAGGCTTTCTGGAACTGCTCGACGTCGGTCCGGCATCCGCAACGAGCAAGGTTGGCCGTGTCAAGGTATTCCGCTGGCTCTTGGACGAGCCCAGGCGGGTCCCCCTGGTAATCACGGCTGCCGGCTATGCCATCCGTAGGTCCACGCTTTTGGTGAGGACGTCGGTGCCCGCGCTGGCTGACGTGGAGTTGGCGATGAGCGGTTTGGCGCCGAACGTGATCTCAAGGCTTGCCTTGCCGCGTGCCCGCGGGTCTCCCGGGCAGACCTCCCTCCCGTCCCTGGCGAGTGCGACTTGCGCGTCGGACGGGCGGGCGCCCCAGATGTGGCCAGGCAGCGTGCACAGCGCCATCTCGCATTCCACGCCCTCGCTTCGACGGCTCGAACCCAGCCCCCGAAGCGGGGGACACCGCGCACCGGGTCCTGCGCGAGGGCGTTGCCAACCTGCTAGTCGGGGCAGAAGGCGAACATGTTGGCTCCGCCCAGGGCTGGGAAGGGACGCGTGCATAATTTTTCCTTCCTCAAATTAAATATAGTGGCCCCGTGCCGAGCAACGCCAGATCGCATTGAATGCGCTTTCCAGTAAGAAAAGAAGGCGCGCAAAATCCACCGCGGACGCCAGCAAGGGAAAATAGCCCATGTAATTCCACACAACTAGCGCCCGCGTTCCGCTTGTACTCCCACGGGAAAGCTAACCAACAAAATCATCAGCCAACTGGCAAGTTCGCATGCATTGCGGCGCGGACAATTGTACATGTAGCGAGGGCAGCGGAATGATAGTCGTCTGATGGAGCAGAGCCAGGGGTTACCTAGGTGAAGCTGCCGACTGGAGATCACGAAAGAAGGGCAACACGAAAGCAGGCCACTTCGAGTCCGGACAGATGCCTCCAGGAAGGGGAATGCCTGCCAATACGCCGCCTGTCGTTTCGAACCATACTGGTCCACAACCTCGACGGAAACGCCCGGCCGCCAACAAAGAAACACCCGGGCGCCTGGTGGATTCTTGACGCCTCGCGCATCCCCACGAGCCGATCCAAAAACAATCACCAGGCGAGTTGGCCTGATCAGGGACGCGTAGAAACAGCATGCGGCGCAGTAGTGAGCCGCATCCGTCTTCGCGGATTCGTAATCGAAGGAGGAGGAAGCGGACGAGGGGAGAAGAGGGAGGAGGGTGAAGAGGAGCCTGAGCAAAAGGATGAAGAGGAGGGAGGTGGGCAGGAGAAACAAGAAACGTGCCAGAGCATGAAGATGTCGGATGGGGGAAGAGGAGCTCGAGGGATGCAAGACAAAATGCGAGTAGTCAGGGGGAGGCAACGGGCGTACCGGTGATCCGCGCGGATCACCGAGGCGGCGTGCGCCCTGGCAAGCAAGGATGCAGGAAGAGGTGGGAAGAGGCAGGATGAGTAGGAGGTGGGGGGAATAGGAGGGGGCAGGAACAGGCAGGAGGAGGCACTTGCAGACGCGATGCCCAGGCGAGTTTCGTTAGCAGGGAAAAAAGTAGCAGCACGCCATGCAACAAACATAGATATCCGTTACACTAGAAAGGTGCACAGGAGCGGGGATAGAGGACAAGAAGGAGGAAGCCGAGGAAGGGGGGGAGGAGGAGGAGGAGGAGGACGAGGAGCAGGGAGAGGAAATATAGGAGAGGAAGGAGGACACGACGACGACATGAATCAATCATCGAAGTCTGTGCGGCTCGTTCGCTCTGGGTGCCTATTGGAAGCCCCTTGGGGTCATCTCGGGGCCACTGTGAAGCCCTCTTGGGGCCGCTTTGGAAGCCTCTTGGGTCCTCTCGGGGGCTCTCCTGGGGCCCTCTTGGGGCCCTCCTCGCGGTCTCTTGGGCCCCTTTGCAGGCATTGGGGGCAGGCCATCTTGGAAGCCGTCGGTCAAGCAAGGGGAGGTCCCTGACAGGGCCCCCTCCGCTCTTGAGCCCCCGAAGTCGCGTCTTGGAGCCTTCTTGGACGCTCTTGGGGCGCTCTTGGGCGCTTTGGGGGTCGTCTTGGGCCCCTGCTGGGCCCCTCTTGAGGCCGTCTTGGGCCCGCTCGGAGCCATCTTGAGGCCTCAAGAGCCCATCGGAAGCGAAAAGGCGAGAAGGCAGAACACATTGAAGCACACAATGGTTTTGAAGGATTTGGGCCTCTTGGAGGCCTCCTTGGAGAGGTCGAGGGGCACTTGGGGCCATCCTGGGGTAGTCTTGAGTGCTCTTGCAGGCATGTTGGAAGCTACATTGAACCATCTTGGGATATCTGCACCGATCTTGGAGGCCTTCTCGGGCTCCCTGCGGCCCCCTTGGAGCCATCTTGGGCCGTACTGGGCGCTGCAGCGGCACGCGGCCACCCACCGTCCAGACACAGGGGGAGAGGGGAGGGGGAGGGGGACCCCCCTCCCAGAAGGGGAAGAAAGGGGTTGGAAGAAATAACTCGTTAAACCACTCACGCTCTAAATGGCTGGTGGGATTTTTCCGCGGCCGCCTGGGAATACTGCCCCAGATTCCCGAGTGATTTCTGTCCAGTGTTTTCGCTGTTGTTTTATGTTAAAAGGATGTTAGTTCAGTTCGAGGTCTAAAAAATAAGGAAGCTCGAGCAAGCTTCGAGCTTCGGTTGCACTCCTTTCGCCTCTGGCCAACGCCAGGTGACTTGAAAACAAATTCATACGTCAGATGAGTCGCTGGAGAATTCGGGCCACACTCTGTTGCATGGCACTGAAACATGTATTCGATGTCGGAGGAACCGTTCTAAATGAATGCTCGATTTCGTCATCGAAGCCTCGGACATGAAATCCGTCTATGATGCCCCTGGTCGGCACTGGGTTCTGCCACATGCAACTCTGGCCGAGCCAACGTACCAATCAAGCAAAGCACGCGGTCGCGGCAAAATGAATTCCTGCAAGGAGAACCACGGAGAAGCTACGAATGTGGGGCTTGCAATGGATTGTAAAAAGACAGGCTGAGACGGCAGTGTGGGTTCGGAGCGGCCGCCTTGGAGCCGTCCCCAAGCAGCCCTCCAACGGGGAAGCCCGCCCTGCCCGAGTGGCGACGGGACACGTTGATGCACTCGACGCCCTCGGCGGTGTGGCCCCAGCTCACCGCGACGTCGACACGCCTGATGTGCAGCCACCCTGCCCCGACGTGCGCGCTTGAAGCACTAGCGGAGAACCCAAAGCCCCCAGAAGCCCCCGGAGCTCAATCCGGGAGCGGCCAAGAGGGGGGTGTCCAAGACGGGGGGGTGCAAATCATGACCGGCGGCATGTGCGCGGCCCAGCGGGGGGGCCAGGGACATAATGAGATAAGAAGAGGCACCACGAGATCTGGGGAAATATCATGGCCCCCGCCATGATATCCACCCCCCCCTAGTCATCACCCCCCTCTTTGCCGCCCCCGATCAATTCGTCCACCCACGTGCAGGTCAAGTTCAGGGACTTGAAACACAAATCAGAGCATGCACGACCAGACCGCTCCGCACGAGCTTCGGCGGCCAGCAGCGACCGCTCTGCGACCGAACCTCTGGGGATCTGGATGAGCGCGTAAGTCCCAGCCTGCCTGATGTCGAAACGTTGCCCGTACATGTTCACAATGTGGGGGTCGCCAATTGCAGCTGCTACCGCGACATGGTTCGTCGAAGGTGGGCTAACCATCGCTGACGACGCGTCAAAAGTGATGCCCACGTCGGCGAAGGCGGTAGTGAGCGAGCCCACTAACGATGTCTGGTCTGCGGCCATGCTGTTCGCGGATGTCGCCAACTCGGCCGCCTTCTGCGGGCCAGTCGTCTCATCAGAGTAAGTTACCATTAAAAATCTAAGGGCGGTCCCGCTCACCGACTGCCGCACTGTTTGGCGAACCTCCACATTCAGCATCGACGCGGTGGATATGTTCATCTCCTGAATCAGAACTGGCGTTATCACAAATTTGGTCTCCGACTTACCCGCCGAGCAAGACAAGGACATGGAGCCCAAAACGGTGGTTTCGGTAGCCATGCCTGGAGAGGGCACCGGCGTTGGGAAACGCGTCGGAAACTCCGTTGGGGATGGTGTCGGAGACAGCGTAGGAGAAATTTTTGGATCGGGCGTCCAGTTGAGCGTCGGGTTGGGCGTCGGGTTTGGCGTTGGGCTGGGCGTCGGGTTGGGCGTCGGGCTGGGCGTCGGGTTGGGTCGGGCTGGGCGTCGGGCTTGGCGTCGGGTTGGGCGTCGGGCTGGGCGTCAGGTTGGGCGCCAGGCTGGCGTCGGGCTGGGCGTCGGGTTGGGCGTCGGGCTGGGCGTCGGGTTGGGCGTCGGGTTGGAAGTGCGGTTTGGTGTCGGGTTGGGCGTCGCCTGCGTGTACTCAATGTCGATTTTCAACCTGGAAGTACAGCACGTGCTCACGGAATAACGGGGTCTGATGGAGTTGCTCCCCCAATTCCAGTTCGAGATGCCACTCGGGTAAGTTGCGCTCGAGGCCGTGCACGCCTGGCACGCGCTGTCGTGCCTGACAAAATTATGGACATGATCCCAACGGCTCACTTCGCTCCGTACGCCGTTACTGTCCACTTGGTGACCGTGCCCAAGTCGACGCCACCGAAATTCACATTGGCCCATGACACATCATAGCTGCCGCCTTGGCCGAGGCAAGTGCACCCCGATCTGCCGCCAAAGCACGCAATGGCCGGAGGGACCATACACTGTGTATGGGTTCTGCGCCTGGCGTGGCTGTGCCGTCTTATGGTCGAGCTCTGCTACAACATGCAGTTTGCCTGCACTGTCGTCCGGTTCCTGGTAGACGACGGAGGGCATTGCAAAAGGCTCCCTCAGCACGACATCAGGGTCTCCCTCGCTGAGACGCTGCTGCATCAAGTGAACGTCGACGTGGCTACGCTCAGGCGAGCCGAATACTCTAAAACTGAGGCGATCCCACCCTGATCGCTTGCTAAGGCGCCTCTGTCTGGTGCCATAGCCGACGCAACGTTGACGAGCCCGATGCAGAAGTGCATCGTGGATTACATCGATACTCGATCGAATGTAAAAGAAGTGCGCGCGCCTGCGAAAGTGGTGCATCAGTCCTGAACCACTTGCGTCCAAATGACTTGAGCCAAAATCTTTTCGGATGAATTCCGCCCGGATGTGTCCAAACCAGCCCCGGAAAATTTATCGAACACCGCGTGAATTTTTCTGGGCGCCCTCCGGATTTTTCCGCGTGTGTTTTTCCAATCCCCACGCCAAGGAAAACATCCACGTGAGGTATTCGTGCCGAGCTTTTTCTCCCCAATTTTTTCATTGGGCCTCGCGGGGAGGTTGGAGGGGGGAGGGGAGGGATGGGAGGATTAAGGTGAAGTGAAGGGGCGCACGCAACAGACGAGGGACGGAAGGAGACAGGAATCCCGCCAGCCGTTTAGGGCGTGAGTGGTTTAACGAGTGCGTTCTTCTTACCCCCTCGTTAACCTTCGGGGAAGAAGGTTTCCCCTTTCCCGATCCCCCTCCCCTATGGGTCTGGACGGGGGTGGCCGCGTGTCTGTGGAGGGCCCAATACGGCCCAAGATGGCTCCAATCGGGCCTCAGGGAGCACAAGAAGTCCTGCACGATCGCTGTAGATATCCCAAGGCGGATGGCTCAATCTAGTTTCCAACATGCCTCAAAGAGCCCTCAAGACCGCCCCAGGACGGCCACATTTGCCCTTCGACCTCTCCAGGGAGACCTCCAGGAGGCTCGGATCGTTCAAAACCGCTGTGTGATTCAATGTGTTCTGCCTTCTCGCCTTTTCGCTTCCGATGGGCTCTTGAGGCCTCAAGATGGCTCCAAGCTGGCCCAAGAGGGCCTTAAGAAGGCCAAGCAGGGGCCCAAGACGGCCCCAGCGGCGCCCAAGAGCGCCCCAAGAGCGCCCCAAGAGGCGACTTTGGGGGCTCAAGAGTGGGGGCGCCCTGTTAAGGGACCCCCCCTTCCTTGACCGACGGCTTCCAAGATGGCCCCAAAGGTTTCCAAGAGGGGCCCAAGAGACCCCCACGAGGGCCCCAAGAGGGCCCCAAGAGGACCCAAGAGGTCTCCGAAAACGCCCCACGATGGCCCCAAAATGACCCCACGGGGGTTCTAACAAGAACCAAGAGCGAAAGAGCCACAAAAGCCTCGATGATTGATTCCTGTCGTCGTCGTGTCCTGCTTCTTCTCCGATCCTTCCTCTCCCTGCTCCTCGTCCTTCTCATCCTCCCCCCTTTCTCCGTTTCCTCCTCCTCCTTCTTCCCCCTCCCCGCTGCTGTGCATCCTCCATGTCCTCCTACGTCCTCCTGTCCTTTCTGATATAAAAATTGTCCCCTTCTCGGTTGCGCGACATGCTACTGCACTTCCCTGATCAACGCAACTTGCTTGGGCATCGCCTCTGCCAGTACCTCCTCCTGCCTGTTCCTGCCTCCTTCTAGTTCCTGCTACATCCGCCTACTCTTCCCACCTCCTCTGGCATATTCTTACACCCTCGCCTGCTAAGGCACTCGGCGCACGGGTGATCCACGCGGATCACCGGTGCGCCGGCTGCTCCCCCTGGCTCCTCGGACCTCCTCCTACCTCCCTCAAGTTCCTCCCCCTTCTTCCTACCTCTTCATGCTCCAGCAGGTTTCAATTCCTCCTTCCCCTCCTTCCTCCTCCTCCTGCTCCTTTTCATCGTGTCTCTTTTCATCCTCCTCCCTGTTCTCCTACTTCATCATATCCTCATCCTCCTAAAAACCCGCGAAAACGGATGCGGCTCACTGCGGCGCCGCATGCTGCTACTACGCATCCCTGATCAGGGTAACTCGCCTGGTTACTGTTTTTGGCTGGGATGGTGGGCATACTTTTTGGTCGCGGCCGCGGGCGAAAGCGCACACGGCGCGTCGTAAGTCCAGGGCGCGGACCTACTAATTGACAACAGCAAACTAGAGCCGACAACCTGATGGTGGGCATTTTTGGGGGAGGGGTCGCGGCCGCGAGCGAAGAGCGCAGGCGGCGAACAGGGTGTCCGGGCCGACGGGCAAGCCTAATTAGCTACTGGGCGCAGCACAAGCCAGCTGGGCCAGCTCACAAGGCGGCAGCTGGGGCAGCAGGGCGGGGGCTGGCTGGCTGAGCTGGAACGTCCAGGGAAGCTCGAGCAACGTGCAACCCTGAGCAAAATGCCAAGGAATTCTGTGTTACGCGCTGCGGCGTCAGACCGATGGTGGGCATACGCGAAGCGTCGAAGATTAGACAGGGAGGGGCGGAGAAAAGGCTGGATACTCCTCACTACGACCGAGATGCATCGGAAAATCTGTGAGGAGCCAGGTGCGCGGGCTGCCTAGGGCCCCCACAAAGCTTTTCTGGGGGCCCCTAGGGCCTTCTTGTGACCTTTTTGGGGCCCTCCTGGGCTCTCCTGGAGCCCTCCTCTTGGAACCTCTCGCGGGCCCTGACAGAAGAGGAGGACGGCGGGAAGGAAACGAAGAGACGGATCATGAAGGCAAGAGGAGAAGAACAATGATGAATACGATCAGGGAGGTTCGGAAGATGGAGGAGAGTCGAAGACTGTTGTCCACACGGTATTCACACAGACGGTCAAACCGCATGATCGATGGACGTGTGCCAATGAAACGAAACAAAAGCCAATTGAAAAAAAAGAAAAAATCCACGCTGAATTCACTCCTAGCAGCGGCGACACCAAAGCATGCCTGGCGGTGTCTCCCCAGCTTTCAATTGCACCGGCCCGTCCAGATCCCGCACGCGCCGCCCCTGCTGGCGGGCACCGTTGACTGAGAGAGCTGCATTGTGGGATTGAAGCAGCATGTTTCCCCCATTTTCAGCGCCCCCTTGCTCCCCTTGCCCGCCCGCTCGGTTTTCCAACCCCGCTCCGGGCGACTCCCCCGACAACGACTGAATGAAGTGCCGCCGCCCCAATCATGTTCGCGCGTGCCCGTTTTCTTGTCCGTTTCGGGGGCCCTGGGAGGTTCTGGCGGGCACCGTTTTCAGCAGCTGGTTTCTCAACTTCCCTGACATGGTGTCGCCGTTGTTGTTGTTGTTGTTGGTATTGTTGGTTTTGCTGCTGTTGTTGGTGCTGCTGCTGTTGTTGTAGCTTTCATTTCTTAAAAAAATCACCACGGTTGATCCACATTCCTGGGTGACAATTGCATTTTTCAATTAAAACGATTTTCCAGGGCTCAGACCCTGTTTTCTTTACCAGGGAAAATGAGGTCTCACCACACTGCGCCCCTGGCCCCCAGTTTACAGCAACAACAACGAGGGCTCCCGCCTGATACTTCCTCACAGTGTATTTCCAAATCGCGGTTTCACGCGGGACCTCGTCACTATGTATGCAGGAAACGCGCTCTCGCGTGGGACGTCCTCGCAATGTAATCGGACGCCGCGCCGTCGACACTGAGGAATCATGCTCTCGCCGTGGATTTCCTGACGATTTATGTGGGAATCGCGCTGTCGTTCGAGAGTCCCTCGCGATTCATACAGGACGCACGCTCCAGCAACCCGCCTGCTCAACCTGGCCGCTTGGGCTCGCGTTCCCGACCCGCCTGTCAGGGCCTACCCAGAAGGTTCGGCGAGGCGCGCGCAGGTAACACGGGAGGCGAGGACTGTCGCGCCTCATACGGCAGAGTTCGCAACCAATGTTAAGGTCCACCAACCAGCGGCTGCTCTTCGCCCGCGCGTCAAAGTCGCAACTTGGTGACATCGCATGCCACAGAAGTGGCTCCATGCACTGGTTCGCACGGTCTCCAGCGCATGGACTAGTTAGCGGCAACGAGCCAGCACACGCGCTGATGAAACGAACGCCAGGGACATCGAAGGCATTAAGATCGCATGGTGCTAGACGATATCGATCGGCCCCAGGTCTGCCTGGAGCTCGCCCCGGTCTACTGCTCGGTGGCATCGCACACTTGGTAGAACACCTCTTAGCCATCGGCAATCTGGAGGAAAGACTCGGCGCACGTTCGGGCGGCGAACCTATCGGCCACGGCGCCCCTGGCGATCTCCCGCGGTTACTCCAAGACTCCTCTCACAGTGCTTGCACACCAATGATGAACGGGTTCCCACGCCAGCACATGCCAAACCAGTTAACGACCAATTCCAGCAACTCCTTCTCCTGCAATGCTGGAAGATCATGGGTGCAAATCAACGGCTCTGGAACATGACTCGGGAACGCCGAACACCTGGCCCAAGTGATCCATGATTACCTTCTGCTTGGCCAGGCGCTCCAGGAGATGATCGTTGTGACCTTCTTCCTCCAGGCGAGGCCCGACTGCGGCGAACGGGATCATGGCCCACCAGGAACGTCACGCGCTCGTGAGCGGGGCGGCCGTCAGACGCCATTTAACAGCGGCGGCCGGCAAGTTGTTAGAGTTTGGAAATGGGGCGGCATTAATTGCAACTCCTCGGCTTAAGACGGCTGCAGACATTCAACGCTCGGTGGCTGGGCTGGTGCTACCTGGCGTCTCCCTTTATATGCAAGCTGACTTGCGCCATGCATGTGCGCCCTGAGAACTTCACTGCCAGCGTTTTGTTGTTCACGTGTTTACCAGAACTCCATCGGCAAAAAACCACGGGCACTCGCTAGTCTCCTCACTCCACCTGTCTTCGTGAAGCCACAATTGGCAAAATTCTATATGCCCCACATTGCATAAATCCCTCCTGCTGGCCATAGCTACTGCTGCACTGGCAACGCTCTTCCGGGTCCACTTCACCTCAATCAACAAACCCTTCAATCCATATTGCATACCAGACCGCACTGACGATCCTGCCACCATGCCAGAATACTCTGCCTCACCATATGATAGTGCCATAACACGCTGGGCCGAACCCCATAATTTGATGATGTGTGTCCCTCAACATAACTACTTCCTCCCCCACTACTAGACTTCGACTTCTTGCACCCTGCATAATCGGTTCGCGCCCACATGGTTAATTCCCCGAATAACTCTTGGTACTTGTAAAGGTTGTAAAACTGCTGCGCGTGTTCAGGTGCTTCCCGAGTTGAACTGAGGTTTGCCAGGGCCCTCTGGTGAGATTCGACATGCTTCTGGCAAGCTCTTTTACTGCAAACTGAATATCTCACCGAGCCTGTGCCATATACGGAGCTCTCGCCACCAACGCTTGATACTTCTTCACATCCGCTGGGGGCAACTAGTCCTCATCCTCCTCGCTGTAACTCACAGTTTCCCCAGGTCCTTCTGATCA